GGACGGGAAAACCAAGCCCAAATTCGTAACATAGCCTGCCTCCGGTAATCTAGCGCCGACAGGCTGTATATGCTTTGCGATTTTATTGATTTTCTTGGTTGGCTCGTCGCCTTCAGGATTGTATGTGATTTCTTCCTCGATTGCCAGCGTGATATTCCTGATCGTAACCTTTTTGGCCTTGTGAACCCAGTCTGCATTCGGTGCCAGCTTGATGTACACTGTGATCGGGTCGCACGGCCCATAGCTCCATTTGGGAAGGGAAATTCCCAGCGTCACCAAATTGTCTGCCGTTACCACTTTAGACTCTGGCCGATTATACATTCCGAAGGTGGACAGCGTGTCGTATCTCTGCAGCGGTACTGGGAAGGCGTACTTGTTCTGTGTGCTCGCGCCCTGTTGTACCGTCACCACCAACTCGTATAGTGTCTCGGCGGTGCGCGAAGGTAATTGTAACGAAGCCGGCGGTATTCTTCTGTTGGTCTCCTCACCGCCTCGGCCAAACGGTATGAAGAGCACGAACGGCAGGTCCATTGCAATGACGCTTTCAGCCTCCTTGCCCGCCTGACATCGGAACAGCAGGAGCTCTTTCCCTACAACGTCGACAGTCTCCCTCCTTGGTGTGCCCAAATGCCTTTTTGCAACGTTCTCTGCGGCAGGATGTATCGTCTCTTTTCTTTGTAGGCATATTCGGACTAATGATACTGCGACAGGCATGGAGTAGCCTTGCGACGGTCTGATTTCGACTTTTCCTTCTATGCGCGGCTGCAGCAAGATACGATCAGTCTCTTGAGAATTCTAACAGATTGCCATATACAAATGTGCATGATTCGCTAAACAATTGCGAACACGCTGCCGCCATCACAGAAAGGGCGCCCAACTTACCAATGTTGCTGATATACCAGGATATCCAACTAAGAAGCTACCGTTGGGCGGTCCTGAGACCCGTACAAAGGCAGCCATGATGACCACAAAGCTGCGCAGGCAGCTGCAGGCGAAGCACAGTCTAGACTTGTAAAGCTAAGAAGGACCGTTGTAGACGTGGATGGCCGGCGACTGACGGCCGCGCCGTCCCACAGGATGTCGAAGCGTACGCGAGGACGGTATAATGTGGGGTATTGGGTCAAGACGGGGGTCTCTCGAATTCGTGGACCGCGGCGCAAGGCAGTATTCTCGAGGATAGATTCGTTGCGCGTAGAGAGGAAGTTTACGGGTGCCCTTGCTGCAAGGTCGTGGTCGTGTCGGTATCAACGGACGGAGGTCAGCCAGGATCGGGAGCGAAGTCGCGCAGAGGTGAGGAAGTGAGGAGATGCTGCGGTCGCTGAGGTGGGTGAGATCGTCAAGGCGGACCAGGCTCTTGGGTGGTGCAGGTTGAGCCCGTTCGAGGTGTAGGGCGTCGCTAAGTATCTGGGTAGATATGCAGGCTGGCTGGCTGGTTCCCGCAAAGTACTGTGAGGGTTGCATACAGCTGGAGAGCAGGCACGAGAAGTCGAGAGGTGACAAGGCGAATCGGACTGGAAGCCAGGCGGCAAGTAGGAAAGCTTGAAGGGTTGAGAAACCAGGACACCAAGCGCAAGCTGGAAAGTGAGGGCTGCAGCGATTCAGCCCGCTCCTACTTGCTACTGTACCAGTTGTACTTACGATTACGGCCTTGAGCCTGGGGCCCTGTGCCTTGGATCTGGTCTGGTCTGGAGCCCTGGGCGTTGCACAGCGAGCACGCTTGCTTGCTGCTTGGCTAGACGTCCCCACTGAATTCCGAGGGAGGCCCACCCAGCACAGCAGCACTCTGCGCCGAACCAGAAGGTGAGCAACCACTGAAAACAGATATGCTGCAGAATCTGCGTGCGAGCACACACCAGAAGGGCGCGAGCAGTTGGTGCTGGTGCTGGTGTTGGGTGAAGTTGCAGTTGCAGTTGCAGTTGCAGTTGCAGTTGCAGTTGCAGTGAAAATCCTATTGGGCAGGTGAGGTTGGCGGTGCTGGGATCAAGAGAAGGCCCAGCGGTAAAGGATCGCCTTTGCTGAGCAGTCGAGATTGACAGCTGGGATGCTGAGGGCAAGGCTCTCGGTCGACGGACAAACGGCCGCCCTGTCAGCAGCGACGGCTTGTCATGGACTGCTCAGCTCTGTAAGTGATCGAGACTCTCCAAGGCTGCCGTCGATGATGGCTGTCGTCCCTGACCAGACAGCTTGAAGAATATGCCTGACTCACAGGTGAGGATCTAGGCCGGGCTTGTCAGAGTGCCAAATCAGAGAGCCGTGAAAGGTTGGCCTGTGTGGGCGATGAAGATGCTCACCAGGAAGTGTGGCCGAGGATGCTGAAGCACTCAATACCTGGAAATCTGGACTAGATGGCTGGTCGTTGTCGCGGGCAATAGTGATGTGCGCTGCTGCGCTAGCGCCGACCCTGCTCCACTGTTAGCGGGCGAGAGGCCGCAAGTATCTAGTGCAAATGCAAAGACAGCAGTCACGACTGACATCCCTCCAGATATCAGCCACTTCCTCTTTTGTGCAGCAATTCTGCAACGCCAGGAACGGCATAAAATAGGTACTTGGGTACGGTAGTGGTTCTCAAGGCTATCAACGCCCGTCGTTCCGCAACGCAGGCCTCTCGCCACCCGCCATTTTGCACCCTAACAAGCCACATCTGGCTCCTCGTCCGGCGGGACGTCCGCCAGATCTGGGCCTGTGCATATACCCAGCACCTTGCCAGCACCCAATCGCAAGATGCCGACTTCAGTATGCCCACACGAGTGCAACGCAATGGCGCCGGCACCGTCACAATCCCTCGCCTGCGACCAGGTCAATCGATGGACACCCATCCTGTCTCGACGGAAAGGCCCTGGCTCGCCTCACAGGTACTCGGCCTGTCAAGCGAACAAAAGTCCCCAATGCCAGCCAGGGCAAAGCAGCTGAGAGGCGCACCCTTTGGAGCTATCAATTGTGCAACGGCGGGGACGGATTACTTGCTACGACCATAGTACAAGTCAGCAACCCCGCCCAGCCCAAGCCCAGCCCAGCCCAGCCCGGCGGGACGCTCGCGTGCTCCCGTGTGCTGGGGCCATCAATGATCATGTGCAGGCCTTATACTATGCAATGGGCGCTGAACCGCTGGAATTATGCATCCTAGACATATGTGATGGCTCTGGCTCTCAGCGCTCCAATCACATGTTACGCTACCGACAGGGGAGCTGCGGGTCCAGCGCCAGGGCTTCCCCAACCTTGCAGCATATCATTGCCCCTCTGTCGCAAAACCAACGTCAAACACCCTCCAGACATCTGATTCCTGAATGAACGTTCGCGCGCCAGCCCTGGGAGCATCACAGCCGCCACCATGTCAGTCACTTTAGTACGTTCAATTGTGCCCTTGAACTACGACACAGCATAGACTCTGTGCTCTCTTGCTCATGATGACATTTGTCTTTGGGCCATGCCTGCTTGCGCCCAGCACAACATTCACGAACAAAACAGAGCACGAAGCCTTACTTACAGTAATCCTGCCTCCAGCATACCACTCTTGGGGATATCAAGGTTGAAGTATTCTGCGAGAGCGTCCCGAGAACAGCAGAGGCAAGTTTTTCTCTATGATTTCGTCCACGTGTCGCTGACTGAGCTAGCAATTGCTGACGCGAACCCTGCGCTCTAGAACTTCCTCGCTCTTTGCGCCTCTCACTACTACGATGAATCACCCTTCCACCGACTCATACCTTCCTTCATGGTGCAAACAGGTGCCCCTGCAAACCCATCGCCGCCCGAAAACCCAAAAGGTGGGCGCTCCATCTGGGGCGGCAACTTCGAGGACGAGATCAAGCCGACGCTCAAGCACTCGCAACGCGGAATAGTCTCCATGGCCAACAAGGGACCAGGCACCAACGGGTCGCAATTCTTCATCCTGTTTGACAAGGCACCGCACTTGGATGGGTTAAATACGGTTTTCGGCAAGGTTATTGGCGACGACAGCCTGGCTACGCTGGCCAAGATCGAAACACTAGAGGTCGACAAGAAGAGCAGACCAAAGGAGCAGCCACGCATTGAGAAGATCACAATACACGCAAACCCACTCGCCGGATGAGACATGGACAAAGATGGTGGCTCATCTTGATGATGGGGAAAAGTCCTCTGACCAAGTAGTCTGCGCTCATTATCGAAATTGCGCTGTGCTCTCTCCGCGAACTCGAGATACAGAAGACTTTGGCATAGTTGCTGCCTCGGTATCGAGGCGCTTGCCGACAGCTCTTCGAGAGATTATAACTGGGACCCTAGGCATGTAGTGACATCCTACACAAAACTAAGCCTGAGGACTTGCAGGGCACCGATCATCTGATGACAGTATAACCTGATGCCTTTCACAGTAGGCACAAATAGCAACTAACACAGCTTTTGAGTGCAGCTATGAGTGCGACTTCGAATGGCCACACAGCTCATATTGAGAAGAGGTGTGTTCCTCAACTCGACTCAAACATCAAGGTAGCTAATGCTGATCTGCATGGCTTTCAGTCTGCCAGAGACTCCGAGCGCGTTTTGATTCTTACCATAGCTCTGACCACGTAATTTGGGCCACTATTGGATCTCTAGGAGGGCAAGGAACCGTAAACTTGATACCGGAGTCAGTACTGTGCTCGAGCAGGTAGTATGTGTCACATCACTTGGTCACTGAACGTTGTCTTGTTCAGTATTTGAAATCGAGACCTGGTATCGCCACAACTCAAAACGAAAATCGATGCCTTGATCTGATGTTGTGGTACTCAATTTTGCGCCCAATTGTCCTTGACTTCCTGGGCTAAGGAGACTCGGACCTGCGTAAAATGAACACCTATGCGATCCTACCATTTACTCCTTTGTACGTGTCCTAAACGGGAGTCTGCCTCTAATCACCACTGATACTGCTCTTCCCTGGATTCTACCAAACGGGTCGCCAACGACTAAACGACAGTTGTGAAAGGAGTCGCAAACATGAGAGGACGAAAAAAAAGTACCATCTTCTGAGTGCAAATGACCCAAAAAGCTGACAAGAGTGAGATTCGAACTCACGCCCCGAAAGACTGCGGATGATGCTTAGGTAAGCCTAAACGCAGCGCCTTAGACCACTCGGCCATCTTGCCTTGTTGCTGTACAAAAAACTTTGAATGATTGTATATATTGATTGGCAAAATTGAGCAGAAACTTCACAGCATGTCACGAGGATGGAACAACATGTCTATGGGGCAATGAGTCTTTTCTCGTCAACTTTATGAGTCAATGGTTGCATTTCCACGCCATCAGTCGCACTGAACGGAGTTTCGACGCCGTGTGGCTTGTGTGGCCCCAAGCAGTGCGTGTAAGTTAGCGCTGCAGCCCCTGCTATTTGCATGTGAAAAGACCCCCTAGCCCGAAATTTTGGCCCAAAGGTCTGTTCACAGCACAGCCTTTCACAGGCAGCAAACACGACCCTCGCCAAAGACTCACAACATCTCGCCCTAAGTCTTACCATTGGCCATTGTCCAAACTAGAAGCCGAGAAAAACGGCAGTCCGCCGCGGCAGCAAGCATGGCGTTTGACGACGACGATGACGTGATGAAGCAGCTGCCCATCACGCAAACCCCAGAACAGGCTCTTGAAACAGCCGAAGAGGCGCTCGAGGACGAAGCGCAAGACTTTGCCCACTTTGCCTCGCTGCAGCGCAAGAACATCTCGGCGCAGGCGATTCGCAAGGGCGAAAAAGATTTTGAGAGCCATGGCACCCGCTCGCAGGCCAGTGCGCTCGAGACGAGCCGCCGGGCCATGGAAGATGTCCTTAGCTACACGCGGCTGCACAACCCTGGCAAGGACTGGGTGAGAGGCTGGTATTTTCCTGAAAGATGGACTGAGGCTGGTGGAGAGGGCGAGGAGGCTGTACGCGCTGGTGTCCGCGATGAAAAGGCGCTCAAGATTGTGCGGGAGAAGGCGGCGGAGCGAAGAGAGATTCATGCCAAGGACAGAGTTGTGTGCGTTGGCCTGGAGCACCGGACGCTGGGCAGGAGGATACGTGGTCAGGGAACGCAGGTCCCTGGTTGGGATCAGGTGTGGCTGTTGCCAGAAGAAGCACTTTTCCTTCTCGAGAGGGGTACGATGGATCTTTGGTGGCCGACTGCCTCAATGGCCGAAGTTTTCTCGCCCAAAAGCGACACGAGCCTCGACCCTAGGGTCTCAACAGACGACAAAGAAGGCAGCGAGGCAGTGGACGAGTATCGGTTTGGGTTTCCGCTAAGTCATCAGGCAGCATATGCGCTGCTTGTGGGCGAAGAAGGTGAAAGAGGCAAAGTCACGTTACGAAACCTCCAGGTCTTTTCAAACCTCAACCGTGCAGGCTTCAATGTCCTTCGTGCTCCCCCACCCGACTGTTTGGCCTCGAATGCGCCAGTACCCGACACCGAGCCTACGTCAATACCTCTATGGCAACAACTTGCCAATCTTCTCTTTGCTGAACGCGAGCCTGTCCATCCTGCTTACGGCCCTCTTGTCCAGCCTGGCCTCTACAGGTCCTACGTCTCCATCTACAAACAACTCGCCGTGGTCCCTCGACACAGACCCACAGGCCACGCCGCCGCTCACCCTTCGCTCACCGCCGACTCTGCGTTCCGCGTTCAATTCCACGTCTGGAAGCCCGGCACCCCGAACTGGTCCAAGACGAAGCCGCCGACATCCCCAGACTATTATCTCGCCGTCGTCGACGCACAGGATACCTGTGTGCCAACGGGAGAAGAAATTGCGGCGCTCTTGGACTCTGTACCCCCTGCGCCGCCACCAGAGCGCACAAAGACAAGTTCCATGCATCAACGGCTGAAGCACGGTCATCGAAACGTGCTTCTCGCGGTCGTCGACCATGGGCTGGTAAACTTTATGCGAGTTGCAGAGGGGGCCTTTGGAGAGGAGATGCTATACAAGAACTTTGACTCTAATCGAGGGCCCAGAGGAGGCAAACGGGGAGGAAGGGGTCAGGGAAGAGGTGGCAGAGGTGGCAGGGGACGAGGAGGACGCGGAGGCAGAGGCGGTTGAACAAGTCGCGTATCTCAATCACTATGCGCCTGAAACTGCTGTATGGTGTCGCTGTCTAGCCCCCGCAGCCCTGTCTCGGCACTTTGCAGGGCTCTCTACGTCTCGAGGCCTCGAAATTGGACGTACCATATCAGAGGGGTGAGCAACAATTTGGTCAAGCTCTTTGTGATGTTTGCTTGTGAGTCAGATCAGTTTCACAGCGACATGATCCAGAACATCAAGGCATCGGGTTTGCGAGAAGGTTCAACAGGCTAGTCGCAAAGTGATGACCTGCTCGCCTTTCTGCCAGTAAACAGAGCTTTGTTGCGAGACTTAGATGCCGACGACGGCTTCCAGGCAGATTTCTTTACTGGAGAACAGGACTTGGCCCGTACAGAACGCCGTCATAAAATGGAAGCTGATCCATGAATATGCAGATCACATGTCTCGTATCGGCCATCGGATAGCAGGAGTACCACTATTTACCAAGGTAGCTAGATACTCTTTTGTCAAGAATAGTTGGTGCCTCTCCTATTGGGTCACCGCAAGTCCACGGACCGAGAGGAGATGAGGAATTTTGACAGGTAAACCATGAATCAAAACTACGTAACCGGCAATGTTTAGGTGCAATCAATTGCTTTTGCGACTATGCACTCAAGTCAACTTCAATATGCTGTGATGGACAATACGTCATCTGGAGCACATGTACTATTGAAGCACATGCTTGTGTGTGATTGAGAGTACCCAGGCAATCTCAGAATCGAGCGCGCACATACCAGAGGGTTGGGACATGATAATCTAGTGCCATTACCTTGTCCGATAACTCGTTAAATTTCTCAACGAAGACTGGAACGATGCTAGTGACAATCCTGGAAGTCTCGAGCAACGATATACTGCGATGGACCGGACAATGGGTCAAGTCGCCACATCAATCGAATTTCTTTGGCATCTTGCGGAATCTGAATTCACAGATACATTATGTTTTTCAGTTCTCAGTTCGATGTAGACAACAGTTCTTGCCGATCAAGTAGCTGGGAAGGGATTTCCGATATGATATCATGCTTCTATTGTTGTTATCTTTCCCCCCTTTTTTTTCTCTTCCTTTTTTCAACGAAAGGCACACGGCTCCCTTGGAAAACAATAATTGAGCGATTGGTCTAGAACTTCTTCAATAAGCCTTGTGCTTATCGCAGGGCCTCTTGTGTACAAGTCTCGGGAGTACAAGTCTCGGTAGTACACCCTCAAGTAGGTAGTAAGCACTGTATCTACAGCATGATGATATAAGCTGTGAGCCTTGGACTTCAGCTCAATATAAAACAATGAACTGTAATTATACTCATGTAAAAGCTGTAAGAACACATCACCTTAATGTTTTGGGTGTTTTTTTGTCCCTCCGTTCCATAACATTGTATAATATCATGCGCCTCAGAGATTTAGTAGCACTTGAATATACAAAATGAACTCTCAGCACATGGGAACAAGTATACGAGTATCTGCAGGCCTAGACTCGGCATTGGGTAATGTCTTGTGTAAAAGTAATTTCCACTGCAGTCACTGGTCCAGAAGGCAAGGTCCGAAGCCTGGGGCCACTGAGCTAATATCACAGATTTTATGAAAGCCTAATTTCGGGCGCAAGTTTTGAGTAGGAGAGGGGGGGGAAAAAATATGGATAGAAAGAGAGGGGCAACAACCACAAGAGGAAAAGGCCAAGTATCAATCGGTGTAAAGGATTAGGCTGTTAAGCCAAGTTAGCAAGGGGGCTGGGAAACCCAAAAGCCCACGAAAAGCCCACGCAGTTTACTCTCCACAATGTCTACCATATGATGGTTGTATAGGGTGGGACACAAGATTGACTGAAAACCAAGGCACTCTTTCCAAAAGACCACAGCCCGGAGGGCTTCTTGAAACGAGTGGACTGGGAGATTGAAACGGGTGTACAAAATGGCTTCAGAGGAATTTATTATTGTTTTTTTTTATTAAAAAAAATAGTGGTAGGGTCATGCGCTCCCGGGGGAAAAAGTGTCCTTTGCCGTTGGAAGAATGCAGCTTGGCATGCAGTGCGCGAACACAACATCAACATAGTCGCTTTCTTATTAGAGCTAACCACGAGCGTGACGATGAGTGGGAAATGGAACCAGATCCCAATAAGCTATGAGCGCTTCTCGAGACAGCACAAACACGCAATACATTGCTGAAACGGTGTGACAAGGTGAACAGCAAGCAGAGGGCATGCATAGTCTTGTGCCTCATCTGCTAAGTCTGTCCTGACACTAGTTTCGCACAAGTGCACTCAGGATCTGGGAATTTGACTTTACCTGTTGCCGAGACCGAGTTGCGCAAAGCAGCCTATCAAGCCTATCTTTCTGTACTCAACCAGGTATGGCTCATTCCTCGTGCCTGTGTTCAATGCTCTTGGGGCCAGAATTACCTCATGCGCTCTCTTTGTCTGTCAGGGAGACGCAGAGTTGTGGATTGTTGATGAAAGCCGTGTACGATAACAGTTCCCAGATTTGTTTGTATCTTGTTGATGCGAAATTGGCATTGCCCGCGCCCCCCCTCCCCCTCTTCCGTTTAGTTATCTTTTTTATGCACAAGGCCAAGACGTAGTTCAGGTGTGTCCGCGCTAGCTACTCTGTATTGCGTTGAAACCGCTGCTGATTAACGGTTCGAGCGCAATGGCTTCCCTGCAACTCCCCCTTCTCAACCCTCTCGCCCTCTCCAGCTTGTTGTACCCGCCAGTCCCTCGACCCAACTTCGAAACACTCTGAGCAATTCGCGGCTGGTCCTTTTCCCGTCTGCTGTTACTCATTGCATCCATCCTCACATGGACAAGTGTTCCGCACACGCTTTTGGTCGCTTCTCTTGGAATTGTGCGACTGAAACCAGCAGCCACGCAACACTTATCCTTTCCTCTTTTACATTCGACCACTGCCACTCCTAGCTCGACGCAAGCCCAGCCCTTACTTGTCTACCTGACTTATCTGGCCTACCGCCCACCTACATAAATCTCTTGCTGTCCACGCCGGCCAGACTGCTGAAAAGGCCAAGGTGCACCGATCAAAGCCCCCCATGGAGGCGGGTACGGCGGGTACGGCGACGCAGAACACAA